GACTTTACAAAATACAAAATTTATTTCTTGCATCACAGAAAGAAATTATATTTTAAAGTATATTAACATAGAAAACAGTTATTTTAAATTATAATATTTCAAACTATTACTGTTTAACTGTATTTTTGATCAAATAACTGCACCCTTAGTGAGCACTTGGAGAGACTTTTCAAAAAACATAAAAAATATTACTGTCCCAAACTTTTGAAGTGTACTTGCTTCCAAATAGCTTTCCATCTGCATCAGTATCTACACAACAAAAGCAGTGACAAAAATAAATGAATAATAAAATAATAATAATTATGATAACATTTTTATTAATGTAATAAAGAAGGGAAATAATTCAAATATGGTGCCAGAAATAGTAATAATAATAATAATTATTATTATTATTCTGTCTAGGTTCCTGAGTCACTGTGTTCTCCAGTGTCCTTACGGACACAGAAAGCTCATGACCGGACAACATAAGTGTTGCTTTGACTGCATGGCATGCCCTGCTGCCACCTTCCCCAACAAAACAAGTTCGAAAACACTCCAAATATTATAGAATTATAAAGTGCTAGTGCATAAGGTTGTTCAATGGAGGATCCAGCAGATGGCACACTTTCTTTATCCTCACCCTCCATACTCACCCTCATGTCGTTCCAAACCCCTAAGACTTTCGTTCATCTTCGGAACCCAAATTAAGTTATTTTTGATGAAATCCGAGAGCGTTGTGACCCTATTTGGAACGACATGAGGGTGAGTAATTAATGACAGAATTTATATTTTTTGGTGAACTATCCCTTTAAATTCTGTAATGTAGCCTCATTATGAAACATTTTAAATGCATCTTATACTAACTTGACTTCATATGTTCTCATAGGTTACACTTTCTGCTAGGCGTGTGCCAGAGACTACTGGTCTGAAGCAGAGAGTGAGACATGTAATAAGAGAGCCGAGCTGTACCTGCCGTGGGGCGCTTCGCTCACTACAGCCCTGCTCATATACCTGGGGGTGACCCTGTTTCTCACCCTTGGCACGGCTGTCATCTTCCTGTTCAACCTCAGTACCCCTGTGGTGAAGTCGGCCGGAGGGAAGACCTGTCTGCTGATGCTGGCGTCTCTGACTGTGGCCTCCTGCAGCACGCTGTGCCACTTCAGCAGACCCTCCCACACCGGCTGCCTCCTCAAACAGCCCCTCTTCATTATCAGCTTCACCGTCTGCCTGGCGTGTGCGACCGTGCGCTCTTTTCAGGTGTATAGAGCTCTCTATTTGACAATGTAGAAGAGGTTAATATCTATTAAGAGGTTAATAGCTGTACGTTATATGACAAAATATTTAACAAATGAAAGATAGCTTTTCAAGCAAAACATTTTTCAATAAGATGTTTGTGAGAGTTATAGTTGGTGAAACCAGTGTTAATGAAAACTAAATTGATTAAAATGTTAACATTTTATTTTTATTAATTGAAATAAAGTAAAATATAAATATTAGATGAAAAATGAAAATTAGAAATGTTGCTATGGCTAATAAATGAAATAAAGTAAGTTGAAGTACTAAAATGACTAAAACTGAAATGAAAATAGAAGTTAATAGAAATATTAAAAAAAAATTAAAATCTTGTCAAGAGCACATCAAATTACCAAAATTTTATGAAAACTGAAAATATAAAATATTAATTAATACTATAATAGTATTTAAACAATAATAAAATAACACTAGGTGAAACGGTTTATGTACTGTTCAAAAATAAGAAAAGAATATTTGCTTATGCTCATTGTGATCAAGTTTATCTTAAATATTAGGGATAAACAGTAGTAAAATACAGTAATCATTTTTCACGTTATAACCAAAAACTAAAATCAGTGGTTTTAAATGCTAAGTGAATTTAGGCATTACAACATTATAATGTGCAGTGTGAAAAATGGATATTCATTTTGAGATGACAGAGTTATTAAAATATATATATTTTTAAAGATTAAATTTAAGGGAGTGTTAGATGACAACAAAGGTAATCTAATGGTGAAAATAGGGGAAATGAGCATGAGCAATTAAATATCCAATGTTTGCCAATAACTAATATGATATATCTATATTGTGCATTCTTAATAAATAACTTTCATCCTCATCAGTTCTCATATATGACACAAATCTCTCTCTTTTCAGGTGGTTTGTATATTTAAGTGGTCCTCCAAGCTGCCAAGATCTTATGAGACCTGGGCTAAGAATCGAGGCCCTGAGATGTTCATCTTCATCACGACAGTGGTGGAGGTCTTCATCTCTCTTCTTCGCATGCTCCTCGACCCTCCCTTTCCATCTCGGGACTATGACTTCTACAGTGACAGCATTATTCTGGAGTGCAGTAAGACTCTGTCTCTCGGGGCCTTCGCCGAGCTCATTTTTGTGTGTGTTGAGCTTAATTTGTTTCTGCCTGAGCTACATGTGAAAAGATCTGCCGGCCAATTATAATGAGGCCAAATGCATTACATTTAGTCTCATGATATATATGATTTCTTGGATCACGTTCTTCACAGCTTACTGCATTTCCAGAGGGAGCTTCGCCATGGCCCTTAATGTAGGTGCCATCCTGTTTAGTGTGCTAGGAATACTCGGCGGCTATTTTTTGCCAAAGGTGTACATAATGTTTAAAAAAGCCCCAGTTGAATACAACAGCTCACTTCCAAAACTGCATTCAAATGTACACCATGTCCAAGCAGTGAAAGCAAATAAGACTTTCTACTATGTCTCTCAACAGTAGGATAATCCAGTAGAGCCTATTAACAATACAGAGCAACATAATCCCAGTTTCAGTCTTTTAGAAGCAGCCGATACTCTAATTGTCTCTGGACTGTGAGTGCTTGGCATATGCATAGCCAGTGGGCAGAATGACAGAGAAAGCCTAATTGTGTTGGCTCCCGAAAGGGCAGAGCACCCGGTTCAACTGGCCTGCGTGAACATCTGTCATGTGCTTCGCTCTCATGGGTGCCCAGTTTCACTCGAAACAATTCGGAGAACAGATTTATTTGGGCAGCTGATTTAAATCATGATCTTGGTTTTGCAGATACAAGGACAGATGGCTTTACTTGTCCTGTTTGTCTTTAGTAAGTCTTTAAAGGAATAGTTAACCCTAAAAATGAAAATTGTTGAAAAACTTCAGGTTATCCAATCCAATCGGAACAGATTTGGAGAACTTTACCATTGCATCACTTTCTCATCAATGAATCCTCTGCAGTGAATGGGTGCCGTCAGAATGAGAGTTCAAACGGTTCATAAAAACATCACAATAATCCACATGACTCCAGTCCATCAATGAATGTCTCGTAAACTGAAAATCTGCCAGTTTGTAATAAACAAATCCATTATTTCAGCACTTCTAACCAAAATAATATGTCCATAATAACGCTCGTTTCAGTGTTGTCCTCTCACATCAAAATAAATTTGTTCAAAAATGTTTTGGACTGTTTTCGCCTCTAAACCGTGCTTGATCTGTGCATATTATCTGTTCCAATGAAGAAACAAACTCGTCTACATCTTGGATGGCTTGAGGATGACTTAAGTTATCAGCAAATTTTCATTTTTGAGTGAAATATTCCTTTAATATAACTTTAGGAATTTGGCCCTGCAGCCAATTAGAATAATGGGATTTAATTTCTGTATCAAAATTGTGATGAATATAGGTTGTGCATGTTTTCAAATGCACTTTGTTTCTACAAAAACAGGTTAGGTAGAGCAAAAAAGATGAAAATAAAATATTTTTCATGAACCGTGATAATGATTGATTCAAATGTTCATTTTTGGGTGAAATATTCCTTTAAAGCCTAAACAGCATTTGAGAACATTAATGGAAGAACATCTGACCAGCTGTACAAAGTGTCACAATTTCACTTGATTAGTGACTTTTACATTTTTTTTAAATCCTAAAGCTTTCTGTTTATTACCAGATTTAAATCCCATTTTAAATCCTGAATTTTTCACATAGACATTTGGACTCCACTTGTTGCTTGTCTAATTGTTCAGTGACACACACACACACACACACACACACACACTTGCATCAGCCCCTGGGAAAAGATAGGATGAAAGGCTTGCTGTTGTTAGGGAGGTCATCTCCATTGACTCCAGAACGTGTGAGTTGGGAGCACGGAAGTGTTTCCCACACTACTTTCCTATTGTGAGTGTGATATTCTCAGGAGGGGAGAACAATAGAAGTGTGCCTGTATAGAGGGGAGGCTGCGTAATTGTATTTACTTGACGTTACCCATCTGTGCTGGTAGAAACCTCATATAGACATAGTCTAGATTTATTTTGAGAGCTTAAAATTGTACAAATGCTCTTAAAATAAAACATTTGTGTTGTATTTTTTATGAATGCCATATGAAATTGGACTCTATTCCAAAAAATAATAATCTAAATAAATAAATAAAAAACAGTATTTCTCTCTGTCTGCCTCAAAAGATAAGTCATTTAGAATTTTTTAAGCTTCTATTTGCTTTATTTTTATATTTTATTATATACACCTTATTTGACAGAACTATAAAATAAAACTATCAATTACAAGTACAAATCAGTGGTACACACAAATTGAGAGTAAGTTTTTAAACCAGTTAGCTCAGTTTACTTACAGTTAGTAGATCAGCCCACAAGTGGTTTTTAGTTTAGTTTCCTAACCTGTTAACATAAATTCAGTCAGCTTTCATACCACATGCTTTTTAAATCAAACTATTGCACATATTGTGCCAGGTTATATGTCTTTAACATGCAAACAGTAATTATTAAAACACTAAAAACCATGAATTGGTAATGTAGAATTTTATTAACAGAAAATATTTGACATAAGAGCTCATTTTCAAAACAGCATTGGTCAAGACAACAAACTGGATCCTTTATCAAATGTACAACATGCCTTACCTAACAAAAATGGAGAATTCTCAGTGCAAACATAAAGATACTCTGAAAAACTTTGAAGTACAATTTCATTTTAATGATCTGATACAGAAAACTCCACTGGAGTCGACCTCAATTAAATATGCATACATCAAAACATATACACAATAAAAAACAATTTAAGTAATCACATGTGGTAAAAATCACATTAAGAGCTATTAAAACAGAACAAGAAGCACATAAATCCACCTCTTTCTATTGACAAACACATGTTTGTCTTAAGTTTTTGTCAATCAATATGATGACAACACAAACGTACACCTTGGAAATGAATCTCCTACTTTCATGAGAGACGTTAATACGACTGTCCCTCAGGGTTTACGGTTCACCGCATCTCTACCAGGGTCTCCAGACGGGCCTCCTGATGTCAGGCTGTTGCAAACCAGCCGTGCTCAGTTTAGAGGAAGGTCCTGATGGAGCGGAGCCGATAGCAGCACTCGTTTGCTGGGCGTTGTGGAGATGCTGGAGCTCCCGCCCAGATCCTCCTCCAGTGGAATGAAGAGTGAGGAAGTGGACAGACTCCCTCCAGCAGTGAGAGTAGCCTTCATTATAGTCCCTCTGAGGAAGCTGCTGCTGCTGCCGCTGCTGTTTGAAAAAGCTGACAGTCATTTCCAGGATATCGGCCTTCTCCAGTTTGGCGCTGGGGTCGTGGCTGTGAAACTCCTTCTCCAGGAGACTCTTGAGCTGGTCGATGCAGCTGTTGATGCGGTCTCTGCGCATCTTTTCAACAATTGGCTTCCTCAGCTGAAATCAGATGGGAACACGGATTAGAACATGTTTCAAACTGCATACAGAATGCAATTTTGGTGAATCGTTTGAAAGAAGAATCGCATTGAAATTAAACATACCTTCATTTTGTTCTTGTCACTGAAGTGAAGATGGTCAAAAGACGAAAGCATAACTGAATGGGGTGCCATGTCCAGCTTGCTTTTCTTCAGTGGCAAAAAGAGTTGTGAGTCTCTTTGAGGAACAGCCCCCTGTATTTATACAGCAGCATTAGCATTACAAAGCCATGTGGCCTGTGCTGTGTTACTGTTCCCACACACTACCAGAGACCAGAGGGCCGGCTCATCACAACAATAGAGGACATTAATTTTATGGTTAACTGCCTGCTCGCCTTCCACTGAAGGAATGTTTCCCAAGGTATCAGAGGGACGCCACACTTGAAGGTTTAGTGAAGGAATTTGGCCCTTCAGCCAATTAGAAAAAAGATGTAATTTTCTGTATCAAAAAGTCATGATAAATATAGGTTGTGCATGTTTTCAAATGCACAAAAGCAGGTTTGGTAGAACACAAAAGATGAAAATAAAATATTTTTGATGAACCATGCTAATTGATGTTGTATAATTCACACTTTGTGTAACCAAAATGTAATGCAATAAAAATTCAGTTTATTGATGAAAAAGAATGTATGCACATACATTTAATGCAATAAAGTATATTTTATATATTGCAAAAATTCTAGATAGCACAAACCGTCCATTAATTAAAAAAACACACAACGTAAGCAGTTTTTTTTTTCAAATTATTATTACTGTTTTACAATAAAAAAATATTTCTTTTGCAGCAGGAAACACAGACTCGAGTCCGTTCCCAGGCCAGGAGTATTCCTTTGATAACTGTTAACAACATGACTGTCAGTTCTACTGAGGTTCGGTGGCAAAACAGACGCGTGCACGTTCCAGATTACAGAAGTTCTCATGTAGCTGTTAAACAGCATGAGAACCGTGAAGGCACGCGTGAGAAAGATCAAGATGATCAAACATCTCAATCTTTATCCGCTAAAAATATTTATATGAGACGAAATCATTTGATTTGTAACGTGATTAAAAAGTTACCTGGGTTTGCTTTAATTTATTGTAGCGTGCCAGCAGGCTCCAGTGAGGGTGATTGCGCGGCGCGTTCTGCTGTATCCCGATCGCACGCCCAGCAGACGCCAAGTGATTATCAAAAGCCAAAAGGGTCAGAATTCACCAAAATACAAGCACGTGAGTAAAGTGGTTTTACTGTGGCAATGAAGCGCGTGGGAACGAGCAGGTGAATATTGATTATGAATGGTGCTTGCTATTTGAAGAGGCTTGGAAGCCCCACAGAACACCTTAGCTAACACACAAATACGCGCTCGTGTATCGTGACAGCCACCAGCGAAAACCAGCGACATAATCATTGATATTACAATTAATATTTTGAATAATATTGTTTAACTTTTCACCTTAATTTTAAAGTTTTAGTGATTGCGTTTCAATGTTTTTTTTTGCCATTTTTATTAATTTTTTTTATGTGAAGTCTATATAGTTTTTCATAACTATTCATTTTAGTTTATTTAGTTAGTTATTTTAGAGAAAATTAGAATTATTGCCTTGGCAACTAGCTGAAATTAAATAAATTTAAGTTTTTTATGTTTTATTTTATTTGCGTTAACATTTAGGGCCTATTGTTTCAAGTAATTTTTTCTTTATTGTTTTAGTTAATGATAATAACCCTGATGAAATCGGCTCTTTTTGTATTGTGATGGGTAGCAAAGACTAGTGTTTATGCTACATACGTTGTTTGTGTTCACTTGTATTTTTCACATATATTCTTTTGAAATACTGTGAGTTTGTTTTTGAGGACATTCCCACCATCCTGGGTGCTCTAATCTGACCAGTGCAAACAATGCACTAATTGCTCCATTGAAAATGTTAATTGCATCTTTGTTGTAAAACAAACAGTCAGTCTTAGTGTCACACACAAACTTGGTAAATCAAGCTTTGTGCAATAGTGAGGAATTCAGACCACCTTATTGCATTTTAGCAAAAAAATATAAATGATCACTTTTGTAAATGTATATATATTCTCAACTATAGCAGATATGAAGCCTGTTCCAAGTTTAATTTGAGTTGGATATATGGTTTTGTTCCTGTGATTCCTCTACGCTCAACCACCTGTAGCAGCAGGCCTGAAGACGAGGTTTGTGTGACAGAAGGCACAGGGCTTTTACTGGAGTTCCCATGAGTTCTGTATTGAGAGGCCAGCCTTCCTTTCCCACAGTCGGTTCATTGACTACCCACAGTAAGGAAACAAAACAAGTGTGTCTTGTTACACATCACATTAGTCACGGTGTTTGAACTCTCTTTATTAGAGGGGGACCTAAGACGTAGCAAGACCATCTGGACTTCAGACACTTTTAGGACTTTCCCAGGATTCAGCAGGAGTTTTCAAATCGGTTCAAACCTAGAAATTCTTCCTAATTCTTAGTCAGGTGTTTGTTCATATATTTATTGATTTTTTTTCTCTCTCTCTCTCTCTCTCTCTCTCTTTATTTGATTTATTTAAAGTGCTAAACAATATAGGGACATTTCATGTCAACTCAACCAGAGGTCACCGCTCAAATTTTTGATATTGCTAATATGGAAAGATAAACATATATAAATCTGTTGACTTTAGCTGTCTTTGTTGCATTATGTGCCAGTGGTGACCATTCAAAAATGGTTTTGGAAAAAAAAAAAGGTTTTTCTTCAAAGTTTGCAGGCATGTAGCTCAAAAAACCCACAGTAAGGAAACAAAACAAGTGTGTCTTGTTACACATCACATTAGTCACGGTGTTTGAACTCTCTTTATTAGAGGGGGACCTAAGACGTAGCAAGACCATCTGGACTTCAGACACTTTTAGGACTTTCCCAGGATTCAGCAGGAGTTTTCAAATCGGTTCAAACCTAGAAATTCTTCCTAATTCTTAGTCAGGTGTTTGTTCATATATTTATTGATTTTTTCTCTCTCTCTCTCTCTCTCTCTCTCTCTTTATTTGATTTATTTAAAGTGCTAAACAATATAGGGACATTTCATGTCAACTCAACCAGAGGTCACCGCTCAAATTTTTGATATTGCTAATATGGAAAGATAAACATATATAAATCTGTTGACTTTAGCTGTCTTTGTTGCATTATGTGCCAGTGGTGACCATTCAAAAATGGTTTTGGAAAAAAAAAAAGGTTTTTCTTCAAAGTTTGCAGGCATGTAGCTCAAAAAGTATTAAAGATATCTTAATGCCCTTTTAGATATTGGGTCTTAACATACTTCCCTAAAATAGTGAATTACTCAGTAGGTCTAAATATTCATCCATGACATTTAATATAATGGCTTTCATCACTATACATGTTTATCTTTCTTCAGAAAAAATATTAGCAAAATCGAAAATTTGAGCCGGGGGCCTGAGTTTATACTGTATGACCCTATAAGAATAAAATTTTAACCCTATAAAATATTTAAACAAATGAAATATTTTGCTTTAGCATGATGAGTAGTACATTGTGTGATTTGTTGATGCAACATTTTCCAATCATTCAACAGTATTTCTACTTAAATTTCATTTGCATAGGTCTCTTTATCTGCCCTTACCTTGTTCAGTGTGCAGCACCTGAAGAGCATAATGTTTCTTAGAATATTTATAAGTTCTCTGTTTATAAGTTTTCTGTCATTTCTGTTCGGTTTGCCTTTTAAATTTACCTGGCTGCAATTGAATTTGTGAATCTGTACAGGATGTGCAGTTTTGCAGATCCGCCACTTTGAGGCAAATTGTGGGTGTAAGTTCAACATCCCTTTCTGATGACAGGGATGCCACCTATCCTTACTGATTATAAGGTGTCTTGCTAGGAGATCATTATTGCTCGAGTGGATAACAAAGCACACACAAGCTTGTTTGTAATTCCATATTTATCAAATATGTAACTGAAACTAACTGATGCAATTTAAAAGTTAGTGGAATGTGTGAATATGACGGTAGGAACACTGAATGAATAAGCACATTGCCACAGAAAAGTTTGTAAAATAGACATTTATTACTTTTATAAAACATTTGCAGATGATATCCAGCATCTTCATTTAGTCTACCACTGGGCTTGATTGTTAGACACACCTTTCACTTGTTTAAAACGCAGTTACCTAAATCATCTTTATAAAAGAATTTGTTGGTCATATAGTTGATTATATAAAATCTACAACACCAACAATAAAATATTCCAAAAAAGAACAAGAGGTTAATAAATATCATAAGATCCATTGGATCTATTCAGAAACATGTTCATAGAATATCAATATTGCATCTCAGTGTGAGATATATAATTGCTAACATAGCAGATTCAATTAGCTTGAAACATAATTTGCCAATGGCAAAAATACAGTGAGATCCAAATATAGGAATACAGACAATTGTTCCTGGAGTTTGCTGGAGGTTCTCACAGTCTGCAGCCAATGGGAGCGTTTGGGCCGCCACATGGCTGCTGAAGCCCTTATTGCTCCGACACAATGAGCGCATCTCTGGGGAGCAGGTGGAGGGTTGGAGAGTGTGTGAGAAAGTGCAGCTTGTTGCTCGCCGTAAGGATTAATTGCTCAAAAAAGCATGTGCTGTTTATATGAAAGACCTACAATGAAAAAATTGGTTCAAAATTTCTTCCATTTCTCCCTTCTTTCTAGAATAATTTATAGAAGTATTAAATACCATTATTAATAGTGATTTTAAAAAGTCAAATACAATCATAAGGACAATAAACGGGTGGTTTCAAATGCATTTTTCTGCCAATAAATAATCAACTACTAATCATCAACAAAATGATTATTACACTATGGCAAAAATATTCAGAAAATTATAATTTTCACTCCATTTTATTGAATGAATCTATTAATTGAATTCTCACTTCTAAGTATGAGTCCAAACAAGCAAACAAATGCCCATTTCAATTAGGGACAGTCATAAATACCCCTGTGAGGTTTCATTTTTTTTTAATCTTGCTGAACTCAAGCATTTGATTGGTAGTGTATACCTGTGTCTTGCAACCTTTTTTTGTCTTATGTACCCCCAAAGTCCCATCAGATCGGAAAGTAATTCATAATAGTTGATTTCTTTTAGCATTATCATTAATATTATTAGAGTCGCCAGTATTATATATGTAAAAAATAATTACTATCATTTTTATATTTGAAAGAAACTGAAAAAAAAAAGAAATTAATTACAAGTTTTATTTTATTTATTTAAGTTTAAGTATTAAACTTAAGTTTAAGTTTAAGTATTGTACCCCCAATACCCCAAGTATCCCGGAAACCTGCCTAAATACCCCCAGGGGTCCACACACGCCTGCTTTATAGGAATCACTCATTTATTTTGATAAGGGACATCTGAATTACACTGAAAAGATATTCAATGGAACAGTTATTATTAAGCTATTTCCACCAGAAAATAAACATTATGATGAATCAATTGATTTTCCTCCTGTTGAGTAAAAACTGAAATATGTTGTGTTGTGTTTTGGCGATGGGAATGTTCCACTATTAACGGCACGTGCTTTGTCAATAAATGACCCCAGTGTCACATTACTACATTCGTGAAAATTAAGATTGAAACAAACGTTAAAGTCTTATTCAGACGTTTGAGCTCTTGTAGCTCTTTCACCCATATTGGGTTTATTCTTTCACTGCTTTCATTTACTGAAAGCTTTTTGTTATATTTCTGTTGTTTGAAACAGATCTAATGCTTCTCTTATTATATGAGAAATATTTCTTCATTTGAAGGAAAGATTTGATTGTGTGTTGAAAGCACAAATGATTGTTTTTAACGTTTGCATGTGTTTACATGAATGAGACGTTTCCCCTGTAAAGGGCAGTGGTTTATCATCACTGTTAGTGATTTAAAATTAGTCTTTTATAGGCAAAATCAAGTTTTTACCTTCTGTGAAGGTGTCTTCTGTGCATTACTTCATATTGAAGTAGAGAATAAAAATAAATTTGAATATATTTCCTGCCTATAATCCCTTGTTGTCACTGAATTCCTTGTCCATGAGTTTAACTCATCACAGCACATTTGCACACTTTAAAAGTTATTCAAATCTATTATTCAAATCTACTATTTGGTTTAAACTCTATATTGTGTTTCAAGATGCACATGTACTTAAAAAATATGCCTATAAATGACACATTTGTCAATTCACATTTATAAGCAAAATTATAGTGTCTCTAATCGGGTCTAGTTTGCAATTTATTCATGCCATATTTGACTACTGACCTTTTAGTACATTAACTGCAGTAATTCAGTGAAAAATTATGCATTTTAATCACATTGAGCACTCAACATCCAGTGTAGCTGAATTTCACCAAGCAGAGATAAAACATAATTGCCTACAGTAAGCGAAAGTGTGGTTTATTAGTGGATAAATAAAGATATATATGTGTAGAGGAGTTCATTTCTTGAGACGACAGCAGCGCAATCTCACTCCATTACACAGCAAATCTGGTTTCTTCAGATGTAAACAGGAGGCAGTCAACAAGACTACAAGGCAAACCATACTATCATATTCAAACTTATTATAAGCATTCTCAGGAAAAAAAAGAGGTACAAAAGCTGTCACTGGTGTGTTACCCTTACAAAAGGTACATCTTTGTGGCTTATTTGCTCACAAAGGGTGCATATTAGTAAATGCACATAGTACTTAAAGTGTACATATTATTACCTAAATGGCAGCACCCCACTGACAGCTTTCCTTTGAGTGTAGCTGTGATTTCATTTGACTTGACATAGAAACACTCATCCACATTTTTATATCTCAGAAGCATATATGATTCTGTGGAGTGAGATATGAGATGTTGAATATTTACCTTGTTTGTGAGTGGAAGTTGTTCTCTGCTGATGACTGATCCAGTGATTGTAGGTGCCATGGCTGTGTGTCTTGTGTTCAGTTCTCCGCTAGGATCAGATGAGATCTGTGCTCAACTCTCTCTCCTCTCCCTCTATTTATACTCCCAAATCTCCATATGAATGTGTGAGCCTGGAGTTTGCTGGAGGTTCTCACAGTCTGCAGCCAATGGGAGCGTTTGGGCCGCCACATGGCTGCTGAAGCCCTTATTGCTCCGACACAATGAGCGCATCTCTGGGGAGCAGGTGGAGGGGCGTTTAAGAGGGATGAAGACTGATTCAGCTAGTGGCCTGTGAATGTGGGAAATTTGTGACCTCGTAAAGTGATCTAAGTGACTGCAAGTCGCTTCGGTCTTTAAAGCACAGTTTATTGTGTTCTTCACACAAGGCACAAAATTGTCCCGTTGTCTCTTGGGAGTTAGACATGAGCCTCAAGGTATATACAGTATATGTTTTGCAAATTACTCAAAGGAAAGGATTTGTGCCACACACACACACACACACACACACACACACACACACATATATATATATATATATATATATATATATTTATTTATCACTCTAGGTATGATTATGACATGTTTCACATAAAAGTAACAAATAAATATAACAATGAATATAAAAAAAATATACTTTATATTTATAATTTACTTATTTGTTTGTTTGTTTTTATTTTAATTTATTTTTTATTTTGTGTTTTTCAAGCTTATGCCATGGCAAACTAAAGTACAATATCTGAAGTGTGTACAGGCTCTTTTCCTCTCAGCTTTATGAGGTCTGGGCAGCACACTTCTCTCTTGGCACACTCTCCCCACACATACTTAAGACACTTCCAGCTGTCTGGCCTGCTGTCTGCTGGCTCTCGGTCACACGCTCCACTCAGTGAGAACCTGGGAGCGCTTGTGCGGCACGGCTTCCCACACTTATTCACTGACACTGATCCCACTGATAAAAGAAGCGTGGCCCATTACACAATGTCAGAGTGACTCTGCCTCCCACTTCCCAGCACTCACTGTTCTCACAGCACCTCCCAGGCAGCCAGGCTCGCCATCTGGAGGCATCATTCAATTACCTCCCTTAAACAACAGCGTCCCAGCCCTAGAGTGTACAACATAGGCTATATCAGATAACATCATCTGCTCATTCTAACAATTTTTTTTTGACAGAATTGTCATAATGCAGCAATTAATCTTAGATTCAATGATACAATTTTGTCATGGTTTTATGCATTTATTAAAATGTGAAAATTAAAATTTGCAGGTGTGAATAAAATTATTATATGCATCAGGTTTATATCAACTTTTGTGTATGAGCAGAATAACCCATCATTGCATACTTATTAAATATTTATATAATAAATATGTATATTAAACAATTATAAATAAATAAATGTTTAATGTAATAAATTCAAATAAAATGTTTTGAAAATAAATAAAATAAATAAAAATTGATTGATGTTGAATGTCTACACATGATCATCTTTATCATTACCTTATATGTTGAGTTTTGCTTGTTTTAGAGCTATGAGCAAAATAATCCACCACTGTATATTTAATAAATAGTAATATAAGTATGTACAGTATTCAACATTTGAAGTGGATCAAAATCTTTCATCAAAGTTGTCCTAAAACCTAAAACCAAAATGTGTTGTTGTCTTAGGACAACTTTGATGAACTTTTTTGACCAACTTCAAATGCTGACCACTGTATAATAAATAATTAATAAATAAAATAGGAATAAATGTAAATAAATGTTAAAAAAATATTGCTATTGATATTAAGTTAGTTAATATAACTAACTTAATTAATTAATTAATGTTAACTGTCTAACCATTTAATCTCTTTTCTATCAACGTTTAGGCTGAGTTTTGCTTTCTTGTAGTATTTCTGGACAGATGTTAAAGTGCACATTCCCACACATATTATTGGCTGACAGCATGAATGAGGTCAATGCTAATTCACATGCTCACTGCTGCTCTTTTAGCAATGTCTCAGTCCTTGACTGACAGACAAAATAAAACCCACCTGCTCATTTGGTTTTTAGGGCCTTGGCATTCATTATTTAAACAATCTTCTCTTACACTATTGTCATACTGCAGTTTCCTGATTGGTTCAAAAGTGTGAGAACTTACATCTCATTAAATTCAGTGAGGCTGCATATAAATTCAACCCAAGGGGAAGAGAAAAGTCAATGCATATCACTTCTCGACACGGCACACTGAGGAACGACCCAGTCCTTCACCATGAGAGATCTGCAGAAAACGTAAGTTAACAAACTGGCATGCAATGAAGTTATTGTTGCAGTTATCTTCAAGCTTCTGAATTGAATGTAACTCATGTAAATGTTTTCTTGTCTCTTAGGTGTAAAATTATGAGTCTGGAGAGGAAATGCTCAGATGGTGTGGAGCAGATTATGGGTGTTCTGGAGCAGCGGCTGCACAATGGTGTCTCTCCCACTGACCTTTGGGGGAAAACGGTCTCTTTCTTCACCCCAAAGAAGACCTTGCTCTTCCACAATGGATACTCCAAGTATTCGAGGGAGACACTTCGCTTATTCCCAGGCTCAGCAGAAGATGTGGCTCCTCTGTGTTTTCAGTGACAAGAAGCAGTGCCATGGAAGAGACGGAAATGCATTTGCCAAATCTTGGTCTGTTGAAAGAAGTGATGAACTGAACTCACCCTGTGTACTTAAAATGGAGGCGTTATTCTCCTATCCTTTTTTTCCAGCAGCATATTAATGAAGAAAAGTCTTTAGTCAAGACTAAATGGAAAAATGAATGGAAATGAATGTTGCCCTGAGGGGATTTTATTATCGATCCAGAAACGGATCTTATGTTGGGATTTGTTGTAATATCAACAATTGTAGGTAATTGCTGTGATGCAATATGCAAAGAAAAAACGGTAACACTTTATTTTAAGGTGTTCTTGTTACACGTTACTTGTACTTACTATTATAATAACAATTAATTATGCGTGAAAGTAACCCTAAGCCAAACACAGCCTAAATTGGTACATCTCAGCGGTGTGTGATGCACTTACATTAAAAAACAGGAGCAGGAGCAGGAGGGGGCGGTTGATTTATTGCCTCCAGCACGTGCGTTCCCCTGGAGATGTGAGCAACTCATTTAACTGCTGTTCCACTGGACCCCAAAACCTCCACCTCCACATTACTACTGTCATCCACCAATCACTCTCTGGGCTTCTGGCCTGGTTTCTTTATATGATCAAACCCCTGGGAGATGTACTGGGAATGAACCCCTCCCAGTTTAATCACACTTACAAGAATGCAGCGGGTCAGAACAGAACAGCAGTAATGTAGTTCAGTGCATCGCTGCACAGTGACATTATTTGTCAGTGTCGTGCGGTGTCACATAATTAACCTGTACAGAAAAGAAAACATTTTCGTGGCCAAGACCATGCATTTTTAAATTTCACAGATCAGTACGCTAAGTTTAGATGTTAGACGTAAGACTGTCCATATTACACACTTTCCGCGTTACTATAATTAATTGCTAGCTATATAGGTCCTGCTAATTACAATTCATTATTAGGCATCCTCTGCTGTCTGTAATGCCTGATTGTAATTAGTCTGTTGCGGTACTGAACCTTTTACAATTTTGTCTTACGGCAGCAGCTAAATTAAATATTTCCACACACCTGCTATTTGTATAGTTGTATTTTGTATTTAATCTGTACCTATCTGTATTTATGTTATCTGTATGCACCAAGGGTCTGAGAGTAACGCAATTTCAATTCTCTGTGTGTATGTGCTGTACATGTGGAAGAATTGACAATAAAGCAGACTTGACTTGACTTGTTTCACTGAGTAACAGTATGAAAACTTCGCCATCACATTTCCTAAAACCTAAATCGTTAAAAACTGTCACACCTAGACCATTGGTTGAGTCAGTGTGATGAGATGAGAGCGCTTCTTTTGTTCAGGTATTTAGGTTAGGCGACGCCCGCGACTCGCAGTCTTCAGTGAGAGCTCGAGACTCTTTCCTCTACAGCTCTCTCTCACACACACACACACACACACACACACACGCGCGCGCTCATTGTGGACTGACTGCAGCCAGAGAGAACGGATCACACACCGGAGAACAGGTGAACACTTTCCTCATTCTTTTCTCTTGAATGCTTGTTATTGTTCTTTAGTAATTATTGAGCTGTTTTATGAGGCATAGGTAAACAGTGCAACTGTATTAAAACTATTATCAGTAGGTGTTAATTCAGAATTATAGATGCATTAAGTATGTCATTATGTTAACAGAAATTGTTGAAATGCATTTATTGCCAAAGTATTATATGATATGCATATTACATTGGCTTCTAAAGTGAATAGGTTTGCGATACTCGTAAGTAGGAAAAGTGGAGTCTCTGTATAAGGAAGAACAATGAATTAATCATGTCACTGTTTACACAGCCTAATGAGAGAAAGGGGTGAGGCTTTGATATTTTTAGGCTCCTGAGCAGCATTGGCGTGCACAGCATGGGATCCTGAAATTAATAAAGATAATATGGACACGTGATCAGCGGCAAATGCAGAATTGGAATAATTAAATGCATAGGAAACAGAGAGACACTTATTATCTGTTTCATTTTCTGGCAGATTATGCTGTGCTTCAAAGAGAAATGTGTTTTGTCATTGTTCTTTAGTAATTATTGAGCTGTTTTATGAGGCATAGGTAAACAGTGCAACTGTATTAAAACTATTATCAGTAGGTGTTAATTCAGAATTATAGATGCATTAAGTATGTCATTATGTTAACAGAAATTGTTGAAATGCATTTATTGCCAAAGTATTATATGATATGCATATTACATTGGCTTCTAAAGTGAATAGGTTTGCGATACTCGTAAGTAGGAAAAGTGGAGTCTCTGTATAAGGAAGAACAATGAATTAATCATGTCACTGTTTACACAGCCTAATGAGAGAAAGGGGTGAGGCTTTGATATTTTTAGGCTCCTGAGCAGTATTGGCGTGCACAGCATGGGATCCTGAAATTAATAAAGATAATATGGACACGTGATCAGCGGCAAATGCAGAATTGGAATAATTAAATGCATAGGAAACAGAGAGACACTTATTATCTGTTTCATTTTCTGGTAGATTATGCTGTGCTTCCAAGAGAAATGTGTGATTGCAACAAATTTCAAATGATTGCATTTTCTTTTTATGGTATTTTGATTAGCCTATATGTGAACAAATGTTTAAAAGTTT